ACAAGTTCTCCACAGAATACTTCTGAAAAAATGGAGCATACACTTAAATAATTGAGATAACGCCTCGATTTCCAAAATGGAAATGGTGTGAGAAAACTGAAACGGATTATGCTTGGCTGGCATAAATTTAACCTTCCAAGATTCGCCCAGGGTAGCTGTGAATGAAGCCTCGGATCCCTTTTCCAGCGTCCCCCGGAGCAGCGGGCTGCTCGCCACGCCGGGTACCCTTCCATTTACCCTTCTGTATTGCGCCCACTGAAACGGGCTCCTGATGCGGGTCTGAGCACACCTAGAGCACAATTTAAAACACGTTTTTTAAAAATAGTTTATTGTTTCCTGATTTGTTTTAACATACATTATTTCAGCTGGTGAACAAGAGCTTTAGGGTATGTCAAATTAACGTAACCTTATGGTTTTCTTACAAATAAATCTAAAAATATAACCATGATTTTCATACCGCTGTTTGCCTACCCAGAAAATCAATGGTCTGTTTACATGGGACGTTTTGGGCCCCAACTCTTTTTCAAATCTCAGGATTATCTAGTTAGAATTTCATAAAAGAAAACACACAGACATTAGTGTGTCTGGGCTATGGTGAAAATTAGATGCCAAGTCCAGAAAAAAAGTTCCTATTTTCAATTTAGACGAAATATGATCAAAAACCACAGATTTTGTTGAAACTGGGAACAATTATATACCTTTACCTCTAAATTGTTTGTAAATACGTGGTACCATCACCAAGGCAGTTCTGGCGGGCACCCAAAAGATCCCAGCAGTATACGGAGCCACCACATATTTGGGTAAATATACTAAAACTCGTTGTGAGACTTGCAAATCACCTCTGCACTTCATAAATCTTGACCTTTTTCAGCAACTGAGACTTAGTTTTGTATGGGAGCTGTGCACAATAAATCAGATTTGCATCAATTTAGGAACTTTCCTGTGATCCTCGTGTTCAGCAGGTACTCAAGTTGTAGAGAGCTCAGTGATATAAGTAATCCAGGTCACTTTAAGCGTAGTTATTTGCCCAAAGTGAGGTGCATGCTCGATACACTTGCTGCATTATAGCGTATTGTCCAAATACTTCAAATATTTTTGAACGCAGTTGTTACAGATGGCATGCAATATTTGGAAATTGGTCAGGGATTTGGCAAAGCATGAGGAGTAAAGAGTCTAATGCAGGGAAATCCTCAAAGCGGAATTTGCTGATGCAATCCTTGCTTGTCTCTTGCACCCTCAGCATTTACATGAGTTGATTCAACCACTGCTGCAGTCGAAAACCATTGTTGGAAGGAGGGTGAAAGGAAAGGAGGGGCAGTGGTTTTCTGCACGAGCCCTGCGTTGCATCAGCTCACAGCGGAGTTCTGCAAACACCAGTCTGAGGGTACGCAGCAGGAGGGCACGGCTGGCAGGGCAGCGTGGAAAGGTGTACAGAACCTCTTCCTTTTGGCTGCCGTGAGCTCTTAAATTATCTCAGGTAATCTCATTAAAAGGCACTCTTGGATCGCAGCTCTGCTGCAGCCAAGTTGTATGAACACTGGAGCAAAGCTGGGGGCAGTACTTTCACCTAGGAAAATTTAATTTTTTCCCATCTGAAGCTGATAGAATAATCTTTATTGCGTGGAGACACAACAGGAAAACTTGGCTGGCATCTCAGTACACTCAAATGCAAAGGCACTCCTTTAACAAGTGATGTCCCACTTGAAGACTCCACCGAACAGCAGTGACTGGGAAAGTCAGCAGCAGCAGCCAGCCAACTGAACGCGAATCAACTAAAATCTGAGGAGCCATCGGCGTAACGCAGCGACTAAGGAAGCAAATGCTGCCCTTGCCCTTACCAGCAAGGAAGATGAATGATTACGGCAGTACTAACGTGAAGAGACTGGTCCTTGTGTGCTTTCAGGAACAACGGACAGTTAAGCAGTGTCCTAATGGGGACAACAACATTTTCCAGCAGCGCGAGCCTGTGGAAGCAGGCGGCACGCCAGGAGGCCAATGCTTTGAGGGATTTTGCGTGCCTCAAGGTTTTGGTCCATGACTACGGCACACCAGGCTAAGGAACCCCCCGGCGCGGAGCTGGAGCTGTTCTTTGGTGCCCACCCCAAATTAAACCCTCTGGCTTTAGATCTAGTACTGCCATCAAGATTCTTATCCTTGGGGGCCCGGAGGCCACTTCCCCTTGCAGCTTTTAAGGATTACAACGGAAAACGCAGGTCTAATGCAGATTCACGGTACAACTGTTCTCCCAGATGGGATACAGGCATTCTGGTCCTCATTTTCTGTGCTCCATCCCTCGACAGTACACTGCGCAGCTTCGTCTTCCATCGAAGCAGCGCTCTCCCACTACCGCACGTAAAAGTCCTTCTGAACCCTTAGCAGACTCTTGGACAAGATTCTTGCTGGTTATTAATTTGCATACTCAATGTACATTTTTACTGACAATGCTAGGAATGAATAAAGAGCTGTTTATCTTCCCAGAGAGACACACATCACTCGGAGAACCCCCAAACTACTTCCCGATGCACCTGTGTAGGCAGAAGCGAGACCAACAGCTACGAAGTCTCACCTTAACATTCCTCATGGTGCCCTTCCGCGGTGAGCATATCCTCTTCTCCCCACCCCCTAGCCTCAAGGAACTCATTGGATTACAGAAAGTCGCCTTGTTTCAAAAAGGCCGTAACATTTGACTGGTCGATAAGTTACTTTAGTTACTTCGGTTTGTCTGAAGTCTGCAGGTGTTATGTTTAATCGTTTTCATATGAGTATGGCCAATTAAAAATGGCCATACCCGCAGTTCTATTTTTAGATTATTAAATGCAAGTATTCCAATGACAGCTGATGGAAAATGACACCGAGTCAAAGTTTTGGCTATACTTTTATTTACTTCACATACTATGAACATATACATTACATGCTACAAAAAAATAAAAAAAGACTTTAACTGTCAAGAAAGTGATTAGTGTTATAATACAATGGCACATGTTCATATTTTTCTTCAAACGGGTTTGGTTAGAATCCTTCCCCAAAACCATTAACAAAAATGAAGTGTTTTACTCTTAAGATGATTAGAAATATTTGCATTATTAACAAATACAATTCAAACAGATTAACAAGATTTAACCAGGTCAAATATTAGTAAAAAGGCTGGGGTTTACCAAAATGAAATATATATTAAAAAAACATAGCAGCCAGTTGTACTTTTTAGTGTGATATAATGTGTAAATGCACCAGAAGAACACAGTGTAATCGAGCATTCTGCTTTGACGGTGTGTTTCTAGAAATGATTATCCTAGTTCTAACACCTGCCTATGCACAAGAGACCAAAACCACAGCCAAGTAGAGACAAGGGATTGTGACCAACGTTCTTAGCAATGATTTTTTTGCACGCACCGGGGAGAAGGGAGGGAACAAACAGAAGAGGATAAACAAAGGCCACAAAAGGATTTAATCTACATGTTCATGAACATATGTGCTACCAAGCTCTTCAAGGAAAACAGGTAAGTTGAAATGTCTATTTCGTCCAAAAGCAACATACTCATTTCTACCACCTATGAAACAAAATCACATTTCGGCTTAGAACTGAATAGTGGAAAACAGTTGCATTAATGTATCAGTTTACTAAGAAAAACAGCTTGACAAGAACTTAGGATTCTAGTGCAACAGCAGCTATTAAGACTCCTCTAGTTTCCTTTTCTTTTCTGCTCTTTCAAAGTGTACAAATATTCGCAGTTTATACAGTCTTAACAAAAACACGTCTACAAAGTCTGCAGGGTATTTTCTAGTTAATTCAATTTATGTCTTTCATATTAAAAAGGCAAGATTTGCATAATAAAATTCCTTTCAGAAAAAAGTTCTTTTGGTATCTTAAAATAATGGCTGATTGGAAAGGTACAAACATACAGGCTTTCATTAACTGCAATTGGAAGAAATACTTCAGAACAAACTGTGTTACTCTAAGAACACACAGTTCATTATGTTTCTTTTGCAATACCTGAAGAAAAATATAAGCATATATGGGCAACTGATAAACTCAGTATTAAGTCTGTTATTTAGAGTGCAGCTGTTGAGAAAAATCAGTCCTATTAAATATCAAGGTCAGAGGAAAAATACAAATTAGCCTTAAAGAAACCAACGTGTTACAGAACCTAGAGTTAGTTTCTCAATTTTTTCCCTCAAAGGAGATTTTGTACTAAGCTAGAAGAGATGCCACAATCGCTGGCCTACCGCCCTGACCAGAAGGGCGATCCAAGCTAGAACAGCACTGCGACCCCTCTGTTAGGGTTCTTCCTACACCACCGTCACAACGGTCGGTTTTCCAACAACCTTCAGTAGTGCTCACGAGAGCGGCGACGGGAAAGTATAATGAGTGCACGTTGGCATTAGTCTACAGAATTAATGAGTGCCCGTTACCTGAAAATTAGTCAGACTTGCTGATGGATTAGCTTTGAATTAAAACAGCTAGTACTTAAATATAACAGAAATATTATCGTTTCCAGCATGTTACACGGTTCTGAGGTAAAGTGTTACCAGTATTCTGCTGTACGGGTCGGTGCCTTGCAGCAACAGCCTTTGCAGCGGGAACTAGCCCTCACAGCATTTACAACCAATGAGCCCTTCTCCTCACATGGCTCCTATCATCAGAAATAACCTTTTTAATTTGATACTATTTAGAAAAACTGTTCTGTATGGATTACGCTGCCGTTAAAAGTTACAAGATTCGTTTGCTTAAGTTCGGTCACTAGAGTGCTGTTCGGAAAACGATCCAGGGTACAGGCAAGGGATAGTTACTTCAGTGTTTAATTTCAGTTTACAAAACTTACTGACTCCATTCTGATTTATGTTAGAGAAAACCAGATCATTAGAAGAACAGACTAAAAAAAAAAAAAAAAAAATCAAGCAGTGCACAAGACCGCCTATCCAATGCACTGGCTTGCATTCTGAGCTCTGAAGCCATATTTACTCTATTATGCCTTTTGAGAATCAATCCAGAAGCACACAAGTATTTTCCATTAGTTTATTAAAAATAAAATCCTCATGAATTCACTATCAAATATTTTACAGATGGGAATTAGACCAGAAGAGTCCCCAGAGTAACTTGAAAATAAAAGTAGTATTTGGTTTGTCAGTTCACCATGTTTGACACTGATTTGTACTGTAAGAGTATTGTACAACAGGAGTATTGAAGAATTCTAGAAAAGTTAAACTGGCCCTATATAATTTAATTTTATTGGAAAGCAGTGTCAGTATTTTAGTATATTTAGTGAATCAAACACTGCTTTAAAGCTATGCATTAAAGTGCTATGCACATATTTTTCAGCACTGATATGGATGTTTACACTTCCATAAGCCTTATATTTGTGGATAAAAAGAGATATCGGTGTGTTAATAGAAATCTGAATTTAAAATCAGCTGCTATGTTTGAAGCATCAACAGTACTGAAGAAATCAATCTAGTGTCCACAAAATTCTAGAATTCCGAGGCTGATTTGATCTGTCATTTACCATTAAAATGGTAAGCATCTGTAAATCATAAGGCTGTCCCCAACGGGCTCTACGTAAATCCGTACTGTGCAGAGTTAACTACCATACAAGTACGACACAGCCTTTCTAGGACAGAGAATTCAGGATGGAAAAAAAAAAAACAAAAAAAAAAAACAAACCACGGAGAAAGCTCCAGGATAAATTTGTGAAATTCCTATCTATACATTGAATTGTCTAAGGTTGACGTTCATCGCCTGAGGAAGAAGCAACATAAGCAATAGGACCAGAGAGAGCTATAGACGTTATCGTAACACCTACGTTACTGCTTTCTCCAACTGCTGCTGCTGGCAAGGTCCAGTCTGCTGTGCACGTGGACATAAGCAGGCATTACAACCTATAATCACGCACTAGTTCTGCCACTTGACACACGAGTTATCTACTGTCGTACCCTGAATTACTTGACCCTTGATTAAGGAATGGTGGTGTTCAGTCCCAGGGGTTTGCAGGTTATCAGAATGCTTGAACAAGCAATACTGCTTTCAACATCTGTCGGAACATAGTCTTGATGGCATCTGCAATAAAAACAAGTTGAGATTGTTCCCATCTGTAAGCGCAACTGTTGAGCCACACTCAGCTGAAGTCCTCGTCAGGATTCTGTTGATCCAGCAGGCGGACGTGCGTGAATGGAAAGTGCCCGCGTCTGCCGTTACATTCTCCTTCCCACTGACCGCTCACGTTTATCTTTGTGACCTTTACCAGCTCACCGACCTGCAGGATAAGAAACAGGGAGGCGTTACAACTCATAAAAACACACAGGATGAGCTGCTACCCCTCCCCTTCGGTGTCAGTCACCCCAGTGTACCAGATACATTCCTACACAACATAGTTTCAGTTCGACCATTTTTGACACACCAGCCTACCACCCAATGTCATTCACTCCTGAAGAAGGTATAGAGAGAAAGAAGCACCTAGATCAGGTGAGAACCACCTCCCTTGAAGAGCCTGCAGCCCAACACCCGTCCTTCAGAGCGCTCTTGGGCCTTGACATCACCCCAATAACCGCACCTCCCCGAACGGAGAGGCCTGCACTCCGCTGCATCAGCGGCCTCGTTAAGGGAGGGGAGGCTTGCAGGGTACAAAGCGCACAGGAATCTGCAAGCTAAACGGCTCCGTCATTCTGAAATTGCACTAAGTGCTTTTCAGGTAGTATTGAAAAAGCTCTGGATAAGTGGGGGATATAGATAGATAGATAGATACAGCCACAGATTATAAAACACTGGGAGCATACGAGGGGGAATAGCAAGTAGTGCCGCAAGGCTGCTCTGCTCTCACTCTGAGCATCCACAACTAGCCACGCCTAGAGGCAAGGCCGATGATATTTCGGTCTTGCCCACCATGGATTTCTCGCATAAATAAATTCCATGGGTTTAGTAAAGACAATTGATGCCCTCTACCTCTTATACCCGAATTGTTTGGCTAGAAAAAGAAAAGAATGGTTACTGTGGACCGATGAAACAATACGCTCTAGTTTAAAAGTATCCAGCTGTAATGTACTACGCTAAATAAAAGCACAGTAACGTATCTCATATTCTAATCTCCAACCTAATACTCACATAACCAACGCTAAAGGTATCGTCCCCCTTTGACAAAGGTGGAACTCTGCAGAGCAGTCGCTTTCCCAAGGCTGTGCAGTCACGTAGCTCAAGCCGGGGCCACAAGGCTAGGCCTAATCAGTCCCCAGCTCTGCTGCGTCTTGAAGGGTACTTTTATTAAGTAGCGCTTATACGACCTAAGCAAGCACAATTTACATTGTAAAGACAGTCACTGGAGAGATAATAAATGCAGCATTGAAAAACTGTCTACCCATTTCTACGCCTCTGTGTAGAATTTTATCAATAATCTTATTTGCAAGTAACACTCAATGGTTTTCAGAGTCTTTCCCGGGTCCCAGATGGGGAATGCTTTGGGACAGATACATTCTATTTTCTGTCACTAATACTGTAAATAAACTCGCAAGGCATGGCCACAAGCCTTACTGCATTCATCCAGAAATTCACTGAACATACAGTTACTAGTTTACACAGATGCTCATCACCGTGTTCCAAATTCATCCAAACTAGAATCTCATTATTCTCACTTTCCAGGCAGCGAACGAAGAACAAGGAAAACAATTTAAGATGCTACCAACCTCCATTAGCTTTACAGGTTTTAATCACTTGCAATCTTTTGCCAGAACAGCTTTTAACAGTTCATAAATTCAAACCACTACATGGACATTTAATTAAGCTTCCCATACCTCGGATGATTACTTATCCGGTAATGAGAGGCACGCTTGGGACTCTGTCTGTAGCTCTATTTTCTCCTTTCGTAGTCATTAGTATAGACATCTTAATGTATCATATTTTGAAGAAAATCCTCTTATGTATTTGCTACAGGCAAAAAGGAAACCTTCCTCGACTACTGAATCCTAGCGTCAGCTCTTTAGGAATTTAATCTTGCAGCATGTATAATTTTGCTACTGCTAATAATCACTGGGGGGTTGTACCAATAATACTCTGTTGACCAAAACAAAACACCAGCTATAATTTAACGTGGATAAGATTAAATGTGACAATACTAGAAGCAGAAAATCCTATTTCCTAATCACAACCATTACAAGAACACTACCCGAGATAACTTTGAATTGCTTCATACCTGGACACAATCTACCTATCAGCCTTCAACAGAAGGTATATAACCTCCAACCCACTAGGAAAGAAAAAGCACAAGTTGCACTTAAGCTTGCTATCTCTAAGGTATTTCTCTTGGACTGCTGGCCTCTGTGCTCTTACTGAATATCACCCACTACTTTATGTTCATGTAGAGTTTCTCTCGGATACCTTACGGCAAACTCACCTGCAAAAGGTGGGTTCGACAGTGCAACGGCAGTGAGCGAGAGTACGGGATGCTTGCGACACTCCCTCGCTCCCAGAAGCATCCTGTAGCTGTTTGTTTGGGTTTCAGGGGTGTTTCAGGGTCACTGCCGCAAAGCGATACCCATTTATAAGTTCTCCTTACTATAAGAAGCTACACCCGAAATTTGCATTTCAATAATTGTTAGAAGAGGAAAGACCTCTGAGCTTAAATACTCCTTTTTTACCATTACAGTAATTTCATTTAGCGACCACTCTTGCTTTCCGATACAGTCTTTCATTCACATTTCATTTATACTTATCTTCTCATTTCATTTATATATATATCTTTACACCTATCAAAGCAGGACTGACTTTAAGTAAGCACGGGTCATTTCACAAATGCTAGCTTAATAAAATGGGTCCGTTAGTTCCTTAACAACTTACAGCTCTTTCTAGATCTGCTTTGAAACTCTGCATATTAATCTATAGTTCAAATACTCTCCTGAAGACAATACAGAGAACCTTTAAAAAGAAAATTACTCATTATTACAAGTGCCGGAATTTTAAAACATTTAGACTAGAACTGGACTCTGAATTCTCCTTGCTTTTACCATTGACTTATGGTATTATCAGTCGTATCGTGCATCACCCACCAAGCACAGCACCTCAAGAACAACACTGTACCCTGCTATAAAGCCAGATTTCTCTCAGTCTTCATCAGAAGTTTTAAAACTAAATATATCCCATATGCATCAAAGCAAAACTGATGGTTCGTGTGAAGACTTCTGTATGCTGTGGTTTTATTCCAAGTACTCCTCTTTGGTAAGGTCAAAATGGCAGAGTTCTGCTACTGTTACAAAGAAAAAAAAATACATTGATCGATCTCAGAGTCATTCACCACAAAGATCTTCCCTTTTTCTCCTCTCTCTTCTCTTAATTAATACAGACTGACAACTCCTTGAATAGGTCCAGTTACAAGCAAAATAAAAGTTATCTTC